AAACTAATTTGTACTTACTTAATAGATCATTATCATTAATAAATTTTTTTTTTTTTTGTACTATGTTACTATATCAATGATGAAAAGAACTAGAAGCCGTACATCTCCAATTTCTAGAGTAGAAGAAAGAAGTTAAAAATGAAGTAAGTAATTTTATTATTAGCTCGTAATTGTAAATCCTTCGGGCTACCTTTCCATTTGTGTTGGGGCGTTCCGGACGGTTAAGCATTGATGGATGTTCCCCTTTGAGTGGAGGATTGCGTATCCGAAAAGATGGTGGGAGGGAGGTGTCTGCTCTTTGCCGGACTCCAAATGATTTGGTTTTCAAGAAAGTATGCTCTGGCACATAATCGGTAGTCGGTTGTAGTTCCTGGAGTAAGGTCTACTTTTTCCAGTACGAGGAACTTGTTACGATCTTTCCTTATTCTGTAAAGGGAGCTTTGTATACTATGAACGAAATAAACTAATTTGTACTTACTTAATAGATCATTATAATTAATAATTTTTTACTATATTAGTTACTATATCAATGATGCATCTCCAATTTCTAGAGTAGAAGAAAGAAGTTAAAAATGAAGTAAGTAATTTTATTAAGCTCGTAATTGTAAATCCTTCGGGCTACCTTTCTATTTGTGTTGAGCATTCCGAACGGTTAAGCATTGATGGATGTTTCCCTTTAAGTGGAGGATTGCGTATCCAAAAAAGATGGTGGGCGGATTGTACAAATTTGATGGAATTTTTTTAAACAAAATTTGGCCGCAGCTTTTTTCTAAAAGGTACTGAAATTTTGAGCGAAGCTTACTCGACACTTACCTAACTAAATTCAATCAATTTTTTTATTTTAATTTTATAGATTCATAGAATTAAAATAAAAAAATTTTAATCGAATTTGGTTAGGTAAGTGTCGAGTAATCTTCGTTCAAAGTTTCAGTACATATTAAAAAATGAATTTTGGGTTGAACTTTAAATGAAGATTTTTCAATAATCACCTATTTAAATTCGATAAAAAATTTTTTATTTTAATTCTATAGATGTATAGAATTAAAATAAAAAAGATTTCATCAAATTTGTACTTGTGGTTGTTGAGAAATCTTCATTTAAAGGTTTAAAAAAGATAATTTTTTCACGATTTTAGCTTACTTTCTTTAAGATATTTTATACTTTTGTCGATAGTTTCTCAATGACCATTAAACCAATCTTTTTTTATAATAGTCAATCACAATTAAGGATTCGAAGGTTCTAGATTGCAAATCTGTCGGTGCTGGGGTCGTGATTATTATGTGATAAATCTAAAAGTTCATTAAGGTTAGGGTTAGCATTTATATTAATTAACGTTAGAGCTAGAAATTAGTGAAATATATATAATCAAATTTCCCAAGGAAAACTTTCGTTAAACCACATTTTTATTAAAAAATTTTTTTATATTTTTAAAAATTATTTGACATATTGTATACAAATGTATTCATTAAGAATTTTAAAAAATAATATTCATCTTTTCAACCCCACACCCAATATGATAACAAGATCTAACACTATACAGTATATTCTTATAGAGTCACATATATTAGCAAATTTTGATAATAAATGTCTTAACCTGATTCTTAGAAAAGATTAAATAATTTAGAGTTTAAAGCGATATTGTGTGAAAATTGTTCTCTTTAAGAGGTTTTATTAATGCCTTTTTCCTTCAAGCCCACCAACATTTGTTGTTATATCTACATAGCAAAGAGTACAGTATCCTTTCCTCTTTGGAACCTATTTTGTTATTACAATTATTTAAAGTAGCTAGTTATGGTTTATGCAAAGTGCGTCAGCTATCACTTTTTTTTTTCCTTCTGGGAGAAGTTTGTTAAGACTTATATCCAAAGTAACCAGAGTATTATTCATGCGAAGCACCTCTACTAATGCTATTTCTCTATTAGAGCCAATTTTATTCATACAATATTTAAGAGGGTTAATGTTGTGTTATTACAAAGATCTGCTAACGCAATTCCTCCTTTGGGGCCAAGGTTATTAAATATCCAGGGAAGTCATGTCGTATTTGTGAAAAGCACCCTCGCTAATGCTTTTCCTTCTTTAGGGCCAAGTTTATTAAGGCAAGGTTTAAAGAAATAAGTGTAGTGTTTGATAAAGCTTCTTTCAACGTCAAGGTTAATCCGATTATAACATAGTAACGTAGTGTTTATTCCTTCACTTTCTCAAACTTATCGTATTACATTCAAGCGTCAATGAAGTCATTGTTGTATTTTTACGAAAAAAAATTTTCATTAATATTTTAAATGTCTCTACCACCCATAGACAATTTATAGTAACAACGGTGGTGATTTTGTAAAGATTTCACTTTTAATGCCTCTGAATTATAATTACTCGTAGAACAATTTATAGTGAAAATGTTGATGATTTGTAAAGATTTTCCATAAATGTTTCAA